CACTCTGTATATGTCCACCAAGTCCATTTGTTTCAAGCTCTGGTTCAGTTCTGTTATTTCTTTGTTATTTTTTTGGTCTGGTTGACCTATCTTTTTGGGATAAGGGGTTGTTAAGGTCTCCTGTTAAAATTGTGGTATTGGATATTAGATTTTTCATGTCCATTAAGATTTGTTTTATATAGTTGGGTACTTCCATGTTTGGTGCATACATATTGATAAGTGTTACCTCTTCCCCTTGAATTTCCCCCCTAACCCACATATAGTGGCCTTCTTTAGTTCACTTGGTCATTCTTGGTTTGAAGTTGAGAGTGTCTGAAAACAGGATTGTTACCCCTGCTTTTTCCTGAGGTGGGTGCTGGGGTATGTAGTGTTATTTTCCATTCTTTGACTTTCAGGCTATGAATTTCTTTATGAATTAGATGTGTTTCTTTTATACAGGATATTGTTGGATTTTGTTTCCTAATCCACTGTGCCAGTCTATTTCTCTTAATTGGTGAATTGAGTTCATTTACATTGATGGTTATAATTGAGATGTATTGACTTATGATTGGCATGTTATTTACCTTTTGTTCTTTTCCTCTTTCTCCTGTGTTTAATTGTTAGCCCTATTTAGTTGGTTGCTTCTGATCTCATTCGTGGAGTTCTGATTATTTTGGTCCCTCTCTAGAACATGTTGGAGGAGCCTGTGTAGGGCTGACTTTGTCATCATGAGATTTAGTTGTTCTTTGTCATGGAAGTATTTTACTTCATCAAACTTGAGAGTTTTGCAGGGTATAGTAATCTGGGATGGAATTTGTTTTCATAGAAGACTTGAAATACTCTACTCCATGCTCTTCTTGCCTTCATGGTTTGTGAAGAGAAGTCAGCCGTAATTCTGATGCGTTTTCCTTTGAATGTGATCTGCTTCTTTTCTCTAGTGGCTTTCAGTATATTATTCTTGTGCTGAAAAAAAATTATTCTTGTGGTAGATTTCTGGGATCTTCACTACTATATGTCTCGGTGTGTTTTCGATTGGGTTGATGTTATTTGGCGTTTTGTATGCTTCGGTTATCTGAATGTCAGATTGCTTCCTCATATTTGGGAAATTACTTCTGCGCATATTTTTTAATGTCATTTTTATTGACTCCTTCCTTCTCATTGATACCTATTAGTCTCACGTTGTTCATCTTTGCATCGTCTTGCAAGCGATGGATTATTTTTCCTGCATCCTAGTTGTTTTTTAGAGATCTTTTCTTACCTTTTCACTAGTTGCACCAGCGTCTTCAAGATGTGAAACTCTGTTTTCACTTTCACTCATACTGTTTTTTCATGCTTGTGCTTGAGATTTTGTGTTCCTCTATGTCTTTGACTCTGCTTCATATGATTTATTTCTTTCCTGTGTTGCTCATTCAAGGAATCCATCATTTTTCTAATCTCTTCTATTTTTTTTATCAATCTCTTCTTTAGAAGCTGTTATTAATTTTCTTACTGCAGAGGTTTTTTTCATGTTGGTTTTCCTCCATTTGTTTCTGTATTTCCTCCATATCTTTACTTCAAATGATATGAATTCAGAGATTTTTTATTTCAGAAATTGATTCTCCTCTGAGTTCCTCTATACCTTTCTGCTGTTGCATATTTGCTTTCGACACCATTAATTCATACATTCCAGCTGAGCTAGTGTCCTCTGCACTTGTTCTGGGTGGGCACTGGATTTCCTCCATATGTTTCTGCATTTGATTCTTTACTGCAGATGTTATTAATTCAGGGATTTCTTTTTTCATTTCCAATCTGAGTTCCTCTATACCTTTCTGCAGCTGTTTATTTTGGAAGCCATTGATTCATTGATTTCAGCTGTGTGATTTCCAATTTGTTCAGTGTTAGTGTCCTCTGCACTTGTTATGGGTGGGCTTGGGTTCTGAGATTGCATTTTGCTCTTTCTCATTGTCATTTTGTGTAGCACTGTCTTTTGGTCTTTGTTGTAGAGCTTTGCTGCAGTTATAACCTTAGCACCTACTGAAGTTCAAGTGCAGATCTACCACGTTTGGATTTATCCAGCTGTGCCTGCCTTGGGTCTGGCTGCTGTGCTCAGCTCTTTCCTGCTGCTGCCATTGGGAGTGAACCTGTTGTGCCTCTCTGGCAAGATGTTCTGCTCCTGAACTAGCTGGGTGGTTCTGTCCCCCACTCTTTCTGCAGGGACTGCAGCTCCAGAGTTTCACCCCAGACCTGTATGCCAGGCCTGAACTGAGTCTGAAGGGGACAAGGGGGCATAGAAGAGAGGGGAAGCTCTCCCACACACTCACTGGGCCTGGGCTAGGGCTGGATCTGAGGGTCCCAAGAGTGGAGAATGCTGCAGAAGTTCTCACTCACTCGGCAGGTGTGGCGGTGTGGGCTGCGGAGTGGTGAGGGCATTCCAAGGGAGCAGAAGAGGGTTTCACTCATGCTGGCTTTGGACTAGACCGGTCCTGCAGGCACAGGGTAGCCAGAAGCTCTCCCACACACTCACCAGACCTGGGCTAGGGCTGGATCTCCTGTAGTCAATCTTACTGTTATGATAAACTACCAAAAGTATAAGAAGAAGTTGAGCCCATGTTGAGTCTGGAATGACTTGATGTGTGTGATATCCTCTTTAGTTGTGAAGCTTCTTGTGCAGGCCCAAATCCCTTGATGGTGCTGTGTGGGATTTCAATTGATAATTAGGGGACAAAATGGTGATTTCTAAGAGGATGTGGTACATTGGCAGAGGATGATGACTAAGTGGCAATAAGGGAGACCTCATCTCAGGTGGCTTTGGTGCCTGATTTATTCTTAGTCTCCGTGCAGGAAGTCACAGAGCCTTTCTAGAATCTTCACATGTATCCCTTCCTCTTCAGTGTTTACTCCAGCTCCTGAAATCATCTCCCAATTGAGAGCAAGGAAGTGTATTGTGCAGCCACTCACTCTGAGAAAGGCTCCTCTTCTTCCAAGGGGTTGTCTCTCCAACTCTGCACAGAAGAATGGCAGAAAGGTAAGGGTACATACAACACAGGTAGGGTTCCAGCTTAATATTTACCCTGAGTCCACACACTGGGTTTTTCACTTTGTGGTTGTACACACAGGAGGACATGGTGCTCCCTCCAGTAAAAGGCAGTAGACAGAAGCTTCTTTCCACAAATTGAAGACAGGTGACCCAACTGTGGGAATTTGAAATGGGTCAAACAGACCTTTGTCCCTTTTGGGCCATCCTACCATATTCTTGCCTTTATCCTAACTAGTCAAATCTTTGCCATGGAACATTGCTGCATCTCATGTTCATGTAAAAATGCAAGGTAATACGAGAGCATTGTAGCCCAAAACTGAATTACTAGATACCCAATTTTTATCATCTTACTAGCTCATCAAAGTTATTCTCCTTTGCACTTTTTGGAAGTTCAGGAAAAAAAGTTTGGTTCAAACAACAATAGAGGGGTATCATTTCATCTGACTGCTTACAAAGATGAGAAAGAAAAAAATGAAGCTATGCACCCTTAATAAAGAACACCAATATGTTATTTCCAGCTCTACATTTAAAGGGATAAAGGAACGCTCATTCCCCAGTGATAGTGTAGTTATGTATGAAGCTGTAGCAGTAGGCAAGGAGGGGAAGCAGGGAGCAGTACTAGCACTGCCAGTACATGTGCCCCAAGAGGAGCAAGGAGGTGAGCCCACATCTGTGTCCTCTTACCCATTGGTCTCCTGATAATGCCGCCCACTGGCTCAATTTAAACAGAAACAGTAACAAAAAGGTCTCCCTGAGGAAGGCTTAGGAGGCAAACTCTTGGGATGCCAGACAGGATAGAGGTGGACAGAATCCCTCGTGGTGATGGAACACTTCTCTGCCATCCCTGTGTCTTTCTAAGCATCTCTCTTCCTATTACACAAACACCCTGCCTCTTTCTGCTTTCTCCTTGTGATGCTCTTTTCATGAAATCACTCAACATCAAAGGAACTATGAACAGGACTAAGTGGAGTATGATTCTGCTGTATACTGCACAGTGCCCCACTTCATAGTTCTCTGTGGACATTGCCATATTTCCAATCTCTCTTTTGCTTAGAGGCCAGTCTCGCTCACTACTTTACACCATTAGACTCCACTCTGACTCACCACTTTCTCTTCTAAACTGTGGACCAATTTGGCTCCAACACAAATCTAACCCTTCCTTTGTGAATCGAGATGCTTCTAATTCCTGAGTAAGTCCATACTTAATCCTTACTTTGAAAGCACTTTTATAGTCAACTTTAGATATTTAGACACACACAAATAAGTCTTTTAAACAGAGATGTTCATAGGAATAATTATGATGAATGAAATCTTCTTAACATGACATATATGTTTTTATATTTTTTCATTTTTTGTTTTGTTTTTTTCCCATGTAACCTGAATCATCCATGATTGTAAGCGTTCTCATGCCTCAAGAAATATTTAAGTACACAATGTGCCATAGCATTGAGCCCTGGGAACATAAATGTGCCCCCACACTCACGGATGGCACTCATTGTGATTTCTAGCTCTCCAGGCCCAACCATCCTCAAACTCTTCCAGCAGAGGTTATACCGACCTAACAGCTCCATAGAAAGCTGTTTTTCTTTTTTTCTCTATGAGGGAATCCTTAATGTGATATAATGATTACTTCCATATTCTTACATGTTCATAAGATTGAGGTAGGAATTTCTGGTCCAGGGCAGAGTAGTGCTGGGTCCCTAGCCCTAGCCTCCTGAGTGAAAGTGTTTATCAGACTGTTTCCATATACTTCAGAAAATTTTTATCTGGAAGAGAAAGATCAGTCTGTAGAGTCAATAAAGATTAGGTTCATATCTAGTACTAGCTAATCCAGGACCACCCAGCTCTGGATAGATTTCTTAATCATTTCAACCCTTCCTTTTAAAAATAGGAGCAATAATTCTCATATAACATGGAGGTCTGGACAATAAGTAATCATGCAGCATGTTCTCAAAATTGTGTTCTCAGGTATACCAGTGAGGGGTCTGTGAGCATGGATCCAACCATGACATCCCAGGGGATGGAACCCACAACAGTGAATGGAAGTCACCGGCCCATGGATGTGACCTGTGATAAGATCTTGATCCCAGACTGGCTGATTGTCATCATTGCCCTGGTGGGGCTAGCAGGAAATGCAGTTGTCATCAGTCTCCTGGGATGCTGCATGCGCAGGAACGCCACCTCAGTCTACATCCTCAACCTGGCTGTTTCTGACTTCCTTCTCCTCTGCTGCCATTTTATTGGCTCACTGCTCATCATCACATCCTTCAGTCATGCCTATATATATATTCCTCACATCTTAGCCAACATGGCAGTTATTCCATACATCACAAGTCTGTGCATCCTCAGTGCCATTAGCATAGAGCGCTGCCTCTGTGTCTTTCAGCCCATCTGGTACCGCTGCCACCGTCCAAGACATATGTCAGCTGCTGTGTGTACCCTACTCTGGATCCTGTCCCTATTGCTTAGCGTTCTAGACTGGTACTACTCTGGTTTCCTCCATGCATTCCCTACTATTGTTAGCTGGAAAAATGTTGATTTCATCATAACTGCATGGCTGATGTTTTTATTTCTAACTCTGTCTGGGTCCAGCCTTGCCCTGGCGGTCAGAGTCCTTTGTAGTTCCCAAAGGATGCCACTAACCAGGCTGTATGTGACCATTCTCCTCACAATCCTGGTCTTCCTCATCTGTGGTCTGCCCTTTGGCATTTACTGGTTCCTATTATGCTGGACCCCAATGGCTCTTGAGAAATTCTATTGCCATTTTTATTCAGCCACAGTTGTCCTGTGCTGTATTAACAGCTGTGCAAACCCCCTTGTCTACTTCTTCATTGGCTCCTTTAGGCAGCGCCATAAGACTCTCAAGCTGGTCCTTCAGAGGGCTCTGCAGGATTCTCCTCTGGAGAGGAAAGGTGGAGACAGATGTACACAGGAAACCCTGTGTTGCACTACTCTGCCCTGGACCAGAAATTCCTATCTCAATTGTATGAACATGTAAGACTATGGAAGTAATCATGATATCACATTAAGGATTCCCTCAGAGAGAAAAGTTGGAAAGTGGAGTGCCTTAGGGATGAAGAGTGTCTACTTTTATTAGGTATTTGTGCTTTTGAAAGTCAATACCTCTGTGTACCTGTTCTGTTCGACTTATACCTTGGAAATGCTTGGGTGATTTTTGTGGCACCTTCAAATAGATTGTTTTACTTGGATTTTTTTTTCTTAAAGAAAGTGCAAATATATCCTTTTTGCCATGATTAATGACTTTCTCAAATTTTCTCTGAATCTTATTGGATGCTTTTCTTAGAAATTTTTGTTATGACCAAAAGGATTTCTATTCAAAACTGCGTTCTGAAATTGACAAGGATTTCCTACAGAAAAGTATAAAAAAAGAAAATATCTTATTTTTCTCAGACTATATTGCTCTGAGAATTCTATGGTTTTCTTTGATTGCGGCATGGTGCAGGTCAAAAGCTAGGTTTTGAATGATCGAGTTCTGCTCCATCTATTTCTCACTTAGTCTTTGTGTTTAGGGTAACTGCTATAGAGACAGACTCCCTGCATAAGTACAGGAAATTGGTTTTATTAAAATTCTTGGGTCCAGGGGGATAGCTCAGTAGAATAAGCACTTGTCTGGCAAGCACAAGGGCCTGAGTTCAATCCTCAGTTCTGCCAAAAAAAAAAAAAAATCTTTTAGTGACACTTGTCCATTGACTTTGGATTTTGGCAGTTAACACCACAAACTTTACCCATAAACTTTGGTATTGTGATGCAAATTTTAAAAATTTAAAAATCAACTAGGAGTTAGACACCATATTAGGACAAAATGAGACCATGCAGGCCACCTCGCAGGTTCTGTTAGACTCACTGAGCCCTGACTGACTACACCAGAGGAAGCTGGACATGGCTCAGTCTGATCACCCCCAGCTGCACAGCCTGCACTTTTCTGTTCCAAACACACCCTGTTTGCTGACTTGTTTTAAGGACTTTCTTCCCAGCAATGAAGAATAACTGATGCAACCCAACAAAAGCTCACCATGCTTTTAAGCTTTTGTATCTCCTGCTTGCAAAACCTACATAAACTAGGTCCAAAGCTGGCCCTGGGTTGATGCTTTGGGAGTGATCCCCAATCAGCCCACTGGTAATAAAGGTGGTTGCCTTCCAACTTCTTTGTGTAGAGCATTTTCCATTCAGTTCAGTGCAGGGCTCTGTAACAGTATGAGATTGTTTAGTTATTCTTCTCACCAGTACAAGTCTAGAAATAAGTCCTGCTTATTGAAATCTTGGCTATGAAGGGCTGCAAAATATCATCTGGATTCCCATGCTAATCCCATGCATAACCTAGGTCACATCCAACCACAAGCAGCCCAAGCAGATATTGGGTTATTGAATAGCCAAATCTAAATCTTTCATTATTGGTCATCCAGAATCTGATTTTAGAATAAGATGGTGGGATTTTACTATGTAGATGTGGACTGAAGTTATCTGCTATGACAAGGCTAGTAGCCTCATAAGTTCCTGGCTATATACCGTGACTCTTAATTTTCAGGACTTACATGGAGTCATGAGACTTGGCTGTGAGAAGATGGTGTGGTATGTGTTGGGCACTATTATTATCAGCACACCAATAGTGGCTATTAAAACAGGTGTAGTTTAGTTGCTGTTGTCCAGTACATTAGAGTTTGGGGAAAGAAGTTGTTTTATACACATGTATTTCTAGAAGATATTGTGTGTGTGTGTGTGTGTGTGTGTGTGTGTGTGTGTGTGTGTGTGTTGGTCAGCAGAGAAGGAAGCTTTTGTGATATACTGGGAAATGAAACTGATGTTTTGGTAACTTATTAAGCTTGTGCCTTCTGCCACTTTTGCCTGTCCCATAAGCTTTTGAAATTAACAAGGAAAGATATGTTAAACCTGGATAGATAGACATGGGAGAAGAGGAGTTCAGAGGCACAGAATTAGGAGGATGAGCTGAGGCCTGAGGCTCAGCCCGGTGAGCTGAGGCATATGTCTAGGCCCAGTGGGGCCCAGACTCTGGTCTGGACCTATAGGGAGGATCTTTGTGGCATGGAGGTGGAAGGAGTTCATCTAATGTAGATGAACTGGTCTGCCTAGAAGACTCCAGCTACATGAAGGGGAGGTGATACTCTCAAAATTATTCTTGGAGGCAAGTATTATACTAATAACAAAACTAGAGAAAGACTCAACCAAAAAAGAGAGGTATAGGTCAATTTCCTTCATGAACATAGATGCAAAACTCCTCAATACAATACTAGCAAATAGAATGCAGCAAATCATCAGGAAGATTATATACCAAAACCAGGTAGGATTCATCCAGGAATGCAAGGATGGTTTATAATACAAAAATCTATAAATGTAATACACTGTATCAAAAGAATCAAACCAAAATCTACATGATCATCTCAATAGATGAAGAAAAAGCTTTTGACAAAGTCTAACACTCATTCATGATCAAAGCATTACAGAAAATTGGAATAGATGGCCTGTACCTCAATCTGATAAAAGCCATCTATGAAAAACCAAAAGCCAAAATCATTTTTAGTGGTGAAAAACTGAAAGCTTTTACTCTTAAATCAGGTACAAGACAAGGATGACCACTATCACCACTCCCATTTAATCTTGTTCTTGAAACATTACCAGAGCCATTAGACAAGAGAGAGAAATAAAAAGAATCGGAATAGGTATGGAAGAAGTTAAGCTATCAGTATTCTCAGACCACATGATAATCTACATGGAAGACCCAAAAAAATTCCACCGAGAAGCTCCTGGAATTAATAAAAACTTCAGTAGTACAGCAGAATACATAGTCAACACCCCAAAATAATAGCATTCCTCTACACAGACAACAAACTCAGAAGGAGAAATTAAAGAAACATTATTTTTCACAATAATATAAAAATACTTAGGAATTAATCTAAAAAAAGAAGTAAATGATCTATACAATGAAAATTATAATACTCCAAAAAAAAAAAAAAAAAGGATCAAAGAGGATTTCAGAAATTGGAAAGATATTCCTGGATAGGAAGAACCAACAATGTAAAAATGACCATACTAACAAAGTTGTTGTACAAATTTAATGCAGTCCCTATCAAAATACCATCAATGTATCTCAAAGATCTGGAGAAAGCATTTCTAAAATTCATTTCAAACTGGAAAAGTCCTAAAATAGCAAAAGCAATCCTGGGCAAGAATGGCCTTACATTACGATTCCTGACTTGAAATTATACTACAGAACTACTATGATAAAATTAGCATGGTGCTGGCAAAAAACACACCTGAAGACCAGTGGAAGAGATTAGAAGATGCAGATACAACTACAAACACTCAGCCACCTTATCTTTGACAAAGGATATGAACATGTTCATTGGAAGAAAGATAGCCTCTTTAATAAGTGGTGCTGGGAAAGCTGTCTCTTAACATGCTGAAAACTATAACTGCATCCAGGTCTATCACCATGTACTAAACTAAAGTCAAAATGGATTAAAACTCACAAAATGCATTAAAACAGAAACACCAATTCGAAGGAAAGAGAAAGTAGCAGGAAATCTTGAAGACATAGGGGTATGTAAGGATTTCATGAACAAAAACCAAACTGCATGAGAAATACTTCAAAGAATCAATAACTGGGATCTCATCTCACTGAGAAATTTCTGCATGTCAAAAGAAATCACAGACAGAATGAAAAGACAACCACACATTGTAAGAATATCTTAACCAACAATCACTCTGACAAAGGACTTCTATCTAGAATATATAAAGAGCTAAAAAAAAAAAAAAGAATCAGGCCCCGAAAATTCAAAGACACAATCCAAAAATGAGCTTCTGAGATGAATGCACACTTCTCAGAGAAAGAAATACAAATGTCAAATAAATATATGAAAAAATGTTCCACAACAGTGGACATTTGAGAATTATGAATGAAAACAACATTGAGGTACCATCTCATCCCAGAAAGAATTGTCATGAAGAAATCAACTAATAGCAAATGCTGGAGAGGTTGTAGAGAAAAAGGAACCATTCTCCACTGTCGGTGGGAGTGTAGACTGGTAGCACCACTATGGAAATCAGTGTCGCGCCTCCTCAGAAAACTAGGATTAGAAGTCCCATTCAACCCAGCTATTCCCCTTCTGGGTAGTTTTCCAAAAGAACTGAAAACATCATACCACAGTGATGATATGTACATCCATGTTTACAGCAGCACAATTTGTGAGAGTGAAATCTTGGGAACAACAATGCCCATCAACTGAAAATTGGATAAAAAAATGTGGTATTTTTAAACAATGGAGGGCCAGCCAAATAGCTCAGTGGATTAAAGCTCCTGCAAGCAGGCGCAGGGGCCAGGGCTTCAATCCCTGGGCCTGCTGTGCCGGCCCCACCCCTGGGGTGTGCTGAGATAGCAATTGAGACTGGGTGTGATGGTGTGCCTGTAATCTCTGCTCTTGGGAGGCTAGAAACAAGTGGATCACTGAGTCCAATCTTGTAGTGAGACCCCGAACACCCTGTAGACCCATCCCTAAAATACAAACAAACAAACAAAACCAATGGAGTATTAGTCAGCTACAAATAAAAACAAACTTGAGTCCTTTATAGGTAAGTGGATGCACCCAGATGTTATACTCTTAAGTGGAATAAAGCAGACCTACAGGTGTATGTATCATATTGTTTCCCTCATGTAAGAACCTAAAAGAATAAATAAAATCTGAAAGGTATAAGAGATATAGTAAAACAGAAAGAAACTGAACATCAGGAATAAACAAAGAAGTAGAGGGAAAGGAAAAAAAGGAAGGGGGAAAAATCAGGCAAGTACATAAACAGGATAACTGAGATGATTGCGTTAATAATTTCCATCAGTTTTTTGAAAGTAGCAGTTAATGTTTAAAATTTTCACTTTGAGTAACTCTATATGTTAATATCTGCAATCTGACCAACTACATAGAAGACAGCAATGTGCAATACAAAAGCCACGTTCGAGGATGGCAATTT